AGAGTGAAGTACCTTCAAAAAAACATTCCAAGAGCAAGGATCTCATAAATTTCTAAAATAGTTCAATTCCAATCAACTAATTTGCATGTAAAACAACTAAATTAAATCAACTAATTCACAAAACTCGCAGAATATATCAGATTACGCAACATTACTGCATTCATTAAACTTCAGTAAATTTGTTTTGAATTACGTGAAATCGTTTCGAAATATTCAAGTATTTCCTTCAATTTCTTGAAAATTTTAATAAAAGTTTTTTTTCATCAGGAAATATTCTATATCTGCTAGAATATTTAAGTTATAGTCATATTATGTTAATTACAAAAAAATATACTTATGACTTAATAATTTATTATTAGTGGCAAAAACACCTACGATGCATATCCTTTTTTATTAAGTCTCATTAATTGTTTTATGAATTTTTTTGTTTTTATGCAATCTCGATTATTTTAATGATTTCATTTAAATTCCGTTTTTATAAATTGGTTATGCAACGATTATAATTGATATATAGAAAATAGACGAACATGTTTTGAAACTAAAATATTTAAAAAAAAACAACATTTTCAATATTTTTTCTCTATTGAATCTATATAAGAATTTATTATTGACTAGCAATTATCAAATCATTATAAATATTGTTCATTCACTATTTCATAATTTATTAGTTAATTTTTCACGACTCAATAATTTGCATTTCTTCATTAAATACGATTCGTTCTGAAAACTAAGTTTCTAGTAAATAAAGACATAAAATTTTAACATAGATTTATACCAAAAACAACGCAAATGCGAAATTCTAAAGGTTAATTGTCAAGTACATAAATTGAAATATTATACTTAATGAATTTTATATAAAATTTCCTCAATTAACTGAAAAGACATACAGGTAAACAATGCTTTACGCTGGAGTTCCGTTCTTACAAAAGCTGTCGCAAATCGAATCGGCGTAAAATGAATTCATATTTACAGTAAGGTAACTATAGGGTTTTGTTCTAAATAAGTGTAAAATCTGCAATTAATAAGCTTTGTTTCACAGCGGCGTTATTATGAATCGGCGTTATAAGTGTATATAATAAGTAACGAATGGTATTTTTTTTAATAAAATGGCATAAATTAATTTGTATTTTCGTATTTATTTACATCAAATCAAAAAAATCACGCGTATATAATTAATGAGCCAGCTAACTGTACGATTTCTTTATCGTTCAGACACTCTGGACATGGACAGCATTTTTTTTTATATAACAATTTCAATTTGGAAAAGTTACCACTTGGAAGCGGTTTTAACGTGAGCAGCCAAATGTACGGCCTTGGCGTGTTGAACTTCTGGGGTTTCTACTGGGACACCGGAGGCATCAATTACTGGGACGTGTTGTGGTCCGGTGTACACGGATGGAGCGTAATGATGGGCGTAAGTGGATACTACTGGGACGTGGTGGGCTACTGGAGCTACTACACCAGTGTATCCTACGATTCCATGGGAGTAGTGACCGTTGAGGGCTTGAGCCTTGGCGGCGTAGTGGGCGGCTTTAGCGTGTTGTACTTCGACGGTGTCGACTGGGACTCCGTTGACGATGGCTGGGACATGGTGAGCTACTGGAGCTACTACACCAGTGTATCCTACAACACCATGGACGTAATCTCCGTTGCGAGCATGAGCTTCGGCCTTAGCGGCAAAGTGAGCGGCTTTAGCGTGTTGTACTTCGACGGTATCGACTGGGACACCGTTGGCAATAACTGGTACTTCGTGGGATACTACAGAGTGAGCTACAACGGCGTTACGGGCATTGGCTTCAGCGTGAGCAGCGAAATGAGCGATCTTAGCGTGTTGGACTTCTGGGGTCTCTACTGGAAGACCGTGGGCTACAACTGGGACATGGTGGGATACAACGGAGTGAGCTACGACTGGAGCTACGACAGCGTGAACGGAAGCACCGTTGCGGGCTTGTACTTCGGCTTTGTGGACCAAATGGGCAGCCTTGGCGTGTTGAACTTCTGGGGTTTCTACTGGGACACCGGTGGCTCCAATTACTGGGACGTGTTGTGGACCAGTATACACAGATGGGGTGTAATGAGTGGCATAGGTGGATACAACTGGGGCTGCTACTACAGCTCCATGAGCGACAACTCCATGAGCAACAACACCATGGTACAAATCTCCGTTGCGAGCTTCAACATGAGCCTTGTGCACGGAGTGTTCAACCTTAGCTTGTTGGACAGCAGCAGTATCAACTGGGACACCATCAGCTCCAATAACTGGAAGATGTTGATGTTCTACATGATGAACACCATAGACTTGATGTCCTCCATACACATGGTGAGCTCCATATCCAAGAGGAGAAAGGTATCCAGCGGAGGCAACAGCCAAAGCGCAAGCGAAGACAACCTAAATTAATAAAAATCACAACAATTACCACAATTCTAATTAAAATCTTCAATTACTTACAAAGAATTTCATTTTTATGAGTAGTTATTAACCTCCTGTTTGATAGGACTGTTAAGACTGTGCCTATACCGATTCCGACTTTCCGCTTTTATACTCAACGTGGTGTGAAGCACCTTCAACAAATATTTCAAGCGCAAGGCTACCATCACCGAAACAGAATTTCTAAATTAACTTAAAAAAAAACTCCGATATTTTATTGGCAATTTGCATTAACCAATTTGCATTTTATTTAAAGTAGATTAACACTAAACATTTACATTATCTTAAGACTTTAGATAATCACAATTTAAATTCTTCATCGTTTATGGTGAAATTACCAAATTCCTCAACTGAAATTACAATAATCAAAAACTTGATACATTAATTTGTTTCGTTACCTTTTTCATTCTTTTTCGATCCATAATATTTTGCAGCCGGATTCGCATATCTCTTCATGATTTTTCGAACAATAAATTCGTTTGTACTTACAATATTCTCGTTTCCTTCCAAATTAGGAATTGTTTTTAATATTACGTCAGATCGTTTGATCTAAAAGAACACAAATTTTATACTGCAAACTCTTATTAAAAACATTAATTCATTACTTACCTTTCGATTAGTATTACATAATACAACTCCAATCATAATATTCAATAGCAAAAAGTAAATCTGCGTGAAAAAAATAACATTAAAACACAAGAAGTATTTGCTTTATAACTCAATTTTTGCTTACTACGTGTTTCATTGTATATATCTAAAGTGCGTAATGCTTATTTGATCTCGGACTCTGCTATGAACGTTTCCTGCCAATTGATGTTATTATATAATAAATTTTTACTGTCATAACATAATTAAATCGTAATGAATGTAACTGGTTTTTCACATTCAAAAGGTGAATATAAATAATTATAATTTTTTAATAATGGAATCAAGTGTAGTTGAATAAATAAAAAATATTAAAAAGAAAAT